CATCAGCATCATCATCACCATCACCATTACCATTATGATCATCATCATCACCATCATCATCAGCATCATCATCATCGCCATCGTCATCATCATCATCATCATCATCATCATCATCATCATCATCATCATCATCATCATCATCATCATCATCATAATCATCATCGTCATCATCATCATCACCACCACCACCACAACCCACCACCATCATCATCATCATCATCATACTCATCCTCATCCTCATAATCCTGATCCTGATCCTGATCCTCCTCTTCCTCATCATCAGCATCAGCATCAGCATCATCATCATCATCAGCAGAATCATCATGATCATCATCATCATCATCATCAGCAGCAGCAGCAGGATCATCATTGTCATAAGCATCACCACCATCATCATCATCAGCATCATCAGAAACATCATCATCAGCATCATCATCATTGTCATCAGCATCATCATCATCGTCGTCTTCCTCCCTGTCACCATCACCATCACCACAATCGTCATCTGAATCGCCGTGGTTAGAATAGTCATCATCATCAGCATCACCATCATCATCAGCATCATCAGCAGCATCACCACCATCATCATCATGACAAGTTCCCAGCCAGGACGCTTGTCATCATCATCCATATCATCACCATAGTCATCATCCCCCTAATCATCATCACAACCGCCATCATCGGCATCCCCATCATCGACGCCATGTCCTCATATCCCTATCGCACTCCCCCACCAGCGATGGTGCACCAGGACTGTATCAAGCAAGCCCGGAGCCACGAGATCGCCGCAGCCATCAGCAGCCGCACATCCCGCACATCAGGCTGGGCTTTGAGAAGCTCATTCTCGCGTTGGCCAAATAGGCCAAGAGCTCCCGGCAAAACAAACTTGCTCACTGGCATCGAATGATACACCCATTCTTCGACTCCTCGACGGGGGAGGCCCTGCCGAGAAGGTCGCCGGCGTCCCCCCTCGATCTCGCTGCTGGCCTCTTTCCCAAACCTCATCAGAATCAACCACCCCATCATCATTACCACCATAACAAACGGTACAATCAAAATGACGATCACCGTCATCATCAGCAGCAGTAGCGTCATCATCATCGTAATCATCACCGCCATCACCATCATCATCCGCATCATCACCATCATCATCACCATCATCATCATCATCATCATCATCATCATCATCAGGATCATCGTCATCATAAGCATCCTAGCATCATGCGCACGATCGCCATTATCCACGTATCCTCCTCCTCCTTCTCCTCCTCGTCATCATCACCGTCATCATGATCATCATCATCATCATCATCATCATCATCATCATCATCATCATCATCATCATCATCATCATCATCATCATCGCCGTCGCAACCATCATCGTGACACCATTGCCACTATCATCAGCATCATCATCATCATCATCATCATCACCAGTACCACCACAACCACCACCACACAACCACCACCGCTACCCCTTACCTTTCCTCCTCATGCCACCATCCTCCAAATCCTCTTCATTCCCCCTTCATCCAATTCCTCCTAATCCTCCTCCTTCGCACCATTACCGTCATCGCCATCATCATCATCACCATCGGCATCGTCATCGTCATCATGCTCAACATCACCTCCACCATCATCAGCATCACTATGACCTTCCCACGTCCTTTGCCTGCGAGGGGCGTGGCCCCAAGGCACTCCTCCCTGACGTCCTTGGGAAGCGAGTGGGTCTTGTCTGGATGGTAGGTCAGGGACAGCTTCTTGAATGCCTTTGACGGAAGGTGGCACCGGTCGCGTAAGCAGTGGCACGAGTGGAAAGAGCAGTAGCAGAAGTAGCGTTAGCAGGAGTAGTCTGGGTGGCAGTAGGATCAGCGGCAGCAGCCGTAGTGGTAGCAATGCTCCCCTCCACTCCTCCAACTCCTCCTCGTCCTCCTCATCCTCCTCCTGTTCCTCCTCCTCCTCCAAATTCGACAACTGCTCGTAAAACTACCAATGTATCCCGAAAAGTGACCCGCGCTGGGGGGGAGAGCGCCACTCTGAACGACGCGAGCGAAGCACCGATCCTAAAAGCAGACCAACGCTGCAGCTGGAGCACCAGTTCGAGACACCGAAAACGCCCCGATCGAACAAAACATCAGACACCTCAGCTTTTAAAATCCTGTGCCTGAAAAACTTGTGAAGAGAGGTCCAAGTGTCTCAAGGGACGAAATCAGGGAAGAAGGGAGAGTAGTATTCGTATTGAGTCCTTGCAGAAGGAGGGATACATGGAAATGTCCCCTTCGCATTGCGATCCGAAGAAAGCCACCAAATAACTACGCGCTCACCCCAAACCGCCACGGAGACCGAGCGAAAAAAGCCCTACAGCGACGACGAAAGAACCGCGATGCCACAATCACCTTTCCGTTGAACACGGCGATGTCCATCAGCGACACCACACCCGAGACGACTGGAAAAGAAGGAGTCAGGAGGAGCCAGGAGGAGGGGGGCACGCCCCAGGTCCATGTGTACAAGCTGCGCACGGGGTTGCGCCTGGCACACCATCGTGGGCAACAGCTGCGGATCCGGGTCAAAGGAGGGCTCGACACGCTCATTTCCATCATCATCATCCTCCTCCTCCTCCTCCTCCTCCTCCTCCTCCTCCCGTCCCTCCTCCTCCTCCTCCTTTCTTCTTCATTATGTATAGCTCCTCCCTGCCGCACCCTCACACGTGTCGATAGAGCGGGCAAGGCGTCTCGCCGGAGACTTCCTCGGCGTGCATGATCCCGAAGCTTGAAAGTTCCAATACTTCCACGGGCGGAGGGCAGGTCGTTTTCGAAATGTTGATCTCGCCTCGGCGCCGCGCACATGCATCTCAAAAGTTTGGAGCAGCGTCACGGCTGCAGGGCGGGTGGTGTTGAAAAGGTGGCGCTCGCCTCAGCGCCGCGCACTCTCGCCTAAAAAAAACAATGGTTTCAAGGATGGGAAATGGTGGCTTTCAAAATACAGCTCTCGCCCCAGCGCGTCGCACGTTTGCCTCAACAGATGCAAGCGCTAGATGGAGGGCGGTTCCTGTGCAAAACGTGGCTCTCGCCTCAGCGCCGCGTACATTCGTCTCAAACGTTTGCAGCCGATACACTGATCCTCCTTCTCCTCCTCCTCCTCCTTCTTCTCCTCCTCCTCCTCCTCCTCCTCCTCCTCCCCATCCTACTTCTCGTCCTCCTCCCGACATCCCTCGTCCACCTCGTCATCCTCGCCCACCCCGTCGTCATCATCAGCACCGTCATCGCCATCATAATTTACCCATGCCCCTACGTCCTCCTTATATGGCCAAACCCTCCCCCGTCCCTCATCTTCAGCATGATCATCATCACAATCATCACCAGCAACATCACTTCCCACAGACCTTACCTATACGACCACCCGTCGGGTGATAAGGAGGTTGCAGGTTGGGGGGAAGAACGAACTGCTGGCAAATGCGATGGGTGTGATGATGACGATGCTGGTGACGCGCCCTCGAGTCGTCAGCGACAACGCGTGATGACAATGTTGCGCTGCGATGTAATGTCAAGATCGTCCCCGCTTTCGACTTCACTCGATCGATTCCACTATCGACCTCACAGGATCGATCACACTCGATCGATCCCCGATCGATCGATCCCTCTACAGATCTCACTATAGATTTCGTGTTCGATCTCACTAACGATCTCACTACATCACTATCGATTCCTCGATCGATCTCACTATCGATCTCACAACCAATGTCGCTCTCAGCCTCACTATCGATCCCACTCTAGCGATCCCATCGTCGGTCTCGCTATCCACTTCAGCATCGATACCGAGGCGGGACACCCCCGGCCATCGACCGCCCACCGCCGACGGAACACCGACGGGACACCAACGGGACACCACAGGGCACCGCGGCGGGACACCCTGGGCCACCGCGTGCCCTCCGGGGGCGGAGGGGCGGTCCAGTGCGTCCGAATCGCCCTAGCGACGGCGGGGTCATGCCTCGAGCGCCAACGCAGCCTCGCCTCGCCCGCACGCGCGGCACGAGCACGAAACCGAAACCGGTTTCCCGGCGGGGGGCTCTCCGTTCCACTGCGGTCTCACCCCCCAGCCTCCGATCGCCATGCTCATCATAATCAGCAGCCGTGTTAGCACACCCATCAATACACTTCGTCGCCGGCATCGGCATCAACATCGCCATCAACATCGTCAAGCTCGTCCTCATCACGACAGTTACCGACATCGTCGTAGTCATCGTCTGCATCTTCGTCATCGCTACCCATGGCGGTATCGTCATAATCGTCTTCCTCGTTTTCGTCGTCTGCCTCAGACTCGTCACCATCCCTGCAAATGGAGCCTTCTTGACCTCCTCCTGAGTTGCGTACTCGTCGATCCCCAGAGTCCTGGAGACGCCATGGGAAGAGCAGCATGCATGGGGCGGACAGACACACTGCGAAGTGATACCCCTACTAGACTGGTTCAATTCCCCCCTTCCCCCCTTCAAAAAAAAATATGTGGGAAATGATGAAGGGGATGAGGCGGGGATGGAAAGGGGGTCGATGGAGGGGCAGAGAGGAGGGGAGAACGAGGAGGAAGATAGGAGGAGGGAGAAAAGATGACGAAGAGGGAGGAGAGGCCCTGATTATAATTTCTCCTCGTCATCACCTGCATCGCCGCCCTCCCTTGCACCCTCCTGAGGAGGGAGGATAAGAAAAGGAGAGGAGGAGAGAGAAGGGCGACACACGGCGACTGCGGCTCAACTTGCTCCTGAAGCTCCACGGCCTTCCCTGTATCCCTCCTACTCATCAGATTCATATTCACCTTCATCCTTCTGCTCGAACGCCCCTGTCGCATCCTACCCCCCACATCATCCCAGATCTCCCCATCCCCCGAACCCTGGTGTCTGTCGTATTGTCGTCACTGCGCTTGTCCTCGTCGTCCTCCTTGACCCGATCCACCTCCCGCCTCGTTACTCCCTCCTCATCTTCCTCGTTCGTCGCATTATAGCAAACCTAGTGGTCCTCTGTAACCATTGCCTTCCCCTCCACATCACTTCTCCCCATGCGCCTTCCTCGTCATGCTCCCACCTCATCCTCCTCCTCCTCCTCCTCATCATCAGCATCATCCTCCTTCTCTTACTCCTACTCCTACTCCTGACCTTGTTCGATCGTCGACGTACTCCCCCTCTCTCTCTCGTCCATCCTCCATCCTGGAATCGTCCTCCTCCGTATCATCATCAGCAGCAGCATCACCATCGCAAGCATCATCAGCATCATCATCGGCATCATCACCATCGTCAATAACAACATCATCAACATAATCTTCCCTGCGTGCTGTTCCCTGATCGTTTGTCCCTGGCTTGTCCTTATGCCTCCCCCTCTTTCCCCTTCAAACATCATCTCCCGCCATCCCACATCACCCCTAAGCCTCCTACCCCTCGTGAGCATGAGCCGTCGCTCCTCCACCCTCTCCAACCGACGCTCATCCTAACCTCCCTCCTCCTCCTCCTCCTCCTCCTCCTTCTCTTCCTCCTCTTCCATCTCTTCCTCCTCCTCCTCATCACCCTTCTTCCCATCCTCCTCCTCCTCCTACTCCTCCTCCTGCTCCTCCTCCCCCTCCTCCTCCTCCTCCTCCTCCTCCTCCTCCTCCTCCTCCTCCCTCCCCTCCTCCGCCGCCGTCTCATCCTCCTTCTCATCAGCATCGTCATCATCATCGTCATCACCACCACCATAACCATCACCGCCACCACCATCATCAGCATCATCATCGTCATCATCATCATCATCATCATCATCATCATCATCATCATCATCATCATCATCATCACCATCACCATCACAATCATCACCATCAGCAGCAGCAGCATCAGCAGCAGCAACATCATCATCATCATCATCATCATCATCATCATCATCATCATCATCAGCAGCAGCAGCAGCAGCAGCAGCGGCATCATCATCGGCACCATCATCATCATCAACAGCAGCAGCATCATCCTCATACGCATCAGCATCATCATCAGCAGCATCAGCATCGACATCATCATCATCATCATCATCATCATCATCATCATCATCAGCATCAGCATCATCATCATCGTCATCATCAGCATCATCATCAACAGCAGCATCATCATCACAAGCATCAGCATCATCATCAACAGCATCAGCGGCATCATCATCAGCAGCATCATGATCAGCAGTTGCATCAGCATCAGCATCGACATCATCAGCATCATCAGCATCATCAGCAGCAGCATCATCATCAGCAGCAGCATCCTCAGCAGCATCAGCATCGACATCATCGTCATCATCATCATCATCAGCAGCAGCAACATCATCCTCATGAGCATCTGCATCAGCATCAGCCGCACCATCAGCATCAGCATCAACATCGTCATCATCAGCATCAGCATCCTCGGCACCATCATCCGCGGAATCATCATCATCAGCATCATCAGCAACATCAGCATCATCATCATCATCGGCATCAGCATCATCATCATCGTCATCGTCATCGTCAGCAACACCATCAGCAGCAGCATCAATATCATCATCATTATCATTAGCATCAGCAGCAGCAGCAGCATCAGCATCATCAGCAGCATCAGCATTGGCATCATCATCATCATCGTCATCATCATCAGCAGCAGCATCATCAGCATCAGCGTCAGCGTAATAATCATCACAATGACCATCAGCATTTGAATCGTCATCGTCATCATGGTCGTGTGCCTCCTCCCTCATCATCCTCATCATCCTCGTCGCCGTCGTGATCGTGACCGTCGTCCTCGATATCCTCATCATCATCAGCAGCATCAGCATCAGCATCATCATCAACAGCAACATCGTCGTCGTCGGCATCGGCATCGGCATCGTCATTGTCGCCGCAAGTGACCACAGTATGATATCAGCCAGCGTTGACTCCAAATAGATTAGACGACTCAAAACAAGGAATCAGAGGAATCGAGCATACTTGGAATCCGCAGCTCAGCAAGCAAGCAAGCGTGCAAGCAAGTGCGCAAGCAGGCAAGCAAGCGTGCAAGCGCGAAAGCAAGCAAGCAAGCAAGCGAGCAAGCGAGCGCGCAAGCAAGCAAGCATACATAAGGGGGTGCCATTGGAAAAAGGGAAAAAGGGGGGTAGGCATAGGCATAGGCATAGGCATAGGAATGAGGGGGGGGCATAGGAATTAGGGGGGGGCAACGGACCAATTAGCAGGGAGCTAGGACTCCTGTAGGGCAAGCCTGTTTGGAGAATAACGCTCCCCATTACCATTACCATCGTATTCATGCACATTATCATCGTAATCGTCATCAACCCCAGACTCGCATCTGTCACCGTTGACGTCGCCGTTTCCGTCATCGTCATACACAACATCACGAACCACAACAACAACAACAACAACAACAACCACAACAACAACAACAACAACAACAACAACAACAACAACAACAGCAACAGCAACAGCAACAGCAACAACAACAACAATAACAATAACAGCAACAGCAAAAACAGCAACAACAACGACAACTACATCAGCAATCAGTTTGAGACTGTTCGCTCTTATCTGTTCGCAAGCCACTCAACACGTATATCCCAATATTCCAACACCTCAAACCACAACACCCGCCCCTTTCGGCTTCGATTGTACCCCCTTTGGAGGTATACCTTCCCTACCTGCCGCGTGTAGTTGGCGCAGCCCCTAAAACAGGAGAAGGAACGGAGGAGGGAAGAGACAACGGGGAGGGAGAAGGATGGAGCACGAGAGAGATTTGCAGGAGGAGGTTGGGACACAAGCGACAGAACCAGACGGCAGGGTCGGGCGGGCGGGCCCCAACGGGCAGGTCGGGCGGGCGGGCCCAGACGGCCAGGTCGAGCGGGCGGGTCGCTGAAGCGTCAATCCAACAATCGCGAGGAAAATCGAGTGACAAATAAATCGTGGGGAAATCCAAAGCAAGAGCATGATTCCTGAGCCTTGGGAGCACGTCGCCCCAATAAATTGTAAGGAAATACGCCGCGAAAGCGCGATCCCTGGATAAATTATGAGGAAGTCCAGCGCGAGAGCGCGAATTTGAAATAAATGGTGCGGGAGTCTCAGGGGGGAGCCGATGCCGTTGTAACCCAGCGACCAGGGGCACAGTTTGAGGACCAAAACTGTCCCTGATAGAAAACAATGTTTAATTGAAAAACGTTATGATATAATTTTTCGTAGCAATGAAAATTCAACCACAACAACATCCTCAGCGTCGTCGTCATCAGCATCATCATGACCATCGCCATCATCATCATCCTCAATGTCAACCTCAACCTCGACCCATTCATTATCATCATCATCCTTATGCTCCTCATTAGTGTTTTCTCCTCTTCCTCCCCGTCCTGTAGTAGTTCATAGTCTTGTCATACTTGAACGACTTGGGAGCGCTGAAGTCAGCCTCCGACGGCAGGAATGTCGGGTCCGTCTCCACCCGGGCCTTGTCCCGCACGCTCATCTGCGCGAGCCGGGGCGGAGGGAGGAGGAGGGAGAGGAGGAAGACGGTGTGCGGAAGGGTGCGCATACCCTTCCACACCCTCCCACGCTTGCGCGCATCGTGAGGAGGAGAAAGAGGAGGAGGAGGAGGAGGGGGAGGAGGAGGAGGAGGAGGAGGAGGAGGAGGAGAGAGAGGAGGAGAAGGGGGAAGAGGGAGGAGGAGAAGGGAGGGAGGGAAGGAGGAAGAGGAGGAGAAGGGAGCATCGGTTCCCGTGTTCGCTGAATGCCAGCCGGTGGACCCAAAACAGCCTGCCGGGGTCACGGCGTGCGCTGGACCCCGTGTGCGGAGCCTCTGTGTCTGGACTCTCGTGCGCGTGGAGCCCTGCGCGTGCAGATCCCAAGGCGCGAGGAGCCCTCCATGCCATTGTGCAGAAGCCCGTGGTGTGGGCCCAGGCCCTGCCTGCCCCGCTCGTGCCGATCCGCGCCGTGCCGACCCGAGCGCAACCGGGCGACCACGGCACACGGGACCAGCGGGGCGCGGGGGGGGGGGGGGGGGCCACGCTGGCTGGCCCAGGACGTGCCGATCGACAGCCCCTCGCCATCGACCTCGTCATCCTCCCGCCTCAGCTGGTACCACTTCGACGCCCCCTCCCCCCGATCCTCCTCCTCCTCCTCCTCCTCCTCTCCTCCTCCTCCTCCTCCTCCTCCTCCTCCTCCTCCTCCTCCTCTCCTCCCTCCTCCTCCCCCTCCTCCTCTCCTCACCCGACTCCTCTCCTCCCCCGTCTTCTCCTCCTCCTCCTCCTCCTCCTCCTCCTCCTCCTCCTCCTCCTCCTTCTCTTCCTCCCTCTTCCTCCCTCCTCCCTCATCTGTCATTCTCCTGCTGTCATCCTTACCACTACCCTCCTATTGTCCACTAGTGGCACATCCAATCGTCATCACCAAAACAACCAAAATGAATCGATCAACCAATCAATCAACCAATCAATCAACCAGCCAACCAACCAACCAATCGATCTAACAAACAAACAAATCCTGGCCATTATCAATAATCGTTTCGTTTCCGCCGCATCCTTCTCCTTGCACTGTTCTTTCGCATCCATGGGGGAGCCTTGCGGTCCGTGGCTTGGTCGATGCGGCCCATCTTCATCATGAATGGGCTAGCCTTGAACGCGGTAGCATCGAAGACGCCTGGCTGGTAACGCAACCAGCGGCAACAACAGAAAATCTCACAACATAGATGCCAGACGCGCATAGAGGGAGAGGCAGCAGGAGGCGAAAGAGAACGAGGAGGACGAGAAGGGCTGAGGGGGTGGGCGGAAAGGGGGAGGAGGACAACGAGGGGGGAAGAGGGACGACAGGAGGGGGAGGAGAATGAGGAATAGGAGGAGCTGCTGTCACACTCCTCCTCCGCACCATCCCTGCCCTCCCTCCCCCTCCTCCTGAGGCTCCGACAAGGGACTCCTCCTCCCCACCTTCTCCGCCTCCGTCCTCCTCCTCCTCCTCATCCTCCCGTCTCTCACCTTGCGCCACAATGCCCGCCGCGGAAATG